AAGGAATCGCTGAGTGAAATTGTGGGTGAAGAACGTTTATTGCAGATTGTTAATTCGTGTTTGACTGCTGGAGGCGCTAATGACTGTGATAAGGTGTATAAGTTTCATGCTTGTGCCTCGCCTGAATTCGATAAGGTTCGTGGTGACATCTTCCTGCCGGATGAATGAAGTGGAAGTGAGGTGGAGGAGGACCAGCGATAAGGTGCTTGGGGAGTAGAGAAGTATTAAGGCTAAGGAAATTGTATTACGTAACTAGAAGTTGATTGATTGTATCTAAACTAAATAAATAATTAAAACTATACTATTTGAAAGCGTTTTTCTTAACTCTAGATCATCAGTTAGGTCTCCTTTTTAGGTTGGTTATTTTACGGTTGAAGTAAACTTTGTAAAGAAGATCCAAATCTAAGGCCGAGCTGTTTTTAAGCTTTCACAGTGAAAACGATTCTTAGTGTGATCCAAATACAATTTAAGAAAATCTATAATTTCATCGATATCATATTCCTTTTTTACGATTTTTTTTATCGATTTTTTTTTACAAGCTTACCGATAAACTCCTCAGTTTTGTGATCAACGCATTTAATTTTCTAATCGATGAACCGTTCGGTTTGTTATCGATATAATATTGATATTTTGTTGATGAGATTATAGCTTTTTAAACGATAAGTTTGTCGATGGTATTGCCGCCAATATATCCATCGATATCGAAATCGATGTTTTAATGGTCTTTATTGGTGACTAAACGATGAGTTGATTGCACATCCTCGAAAGAGCTGCGGTAATAGGAATCGGTGGCGATGTTATGGCGTATTGCATGTGTTCTTACTGGACAGTGATTCCTTAGGACTCCTGTCAGCAGTGGGTTAGCGTAAAAAGCTGCTTTCAACATTGCCTGCTTGTCTAACATTGGCCCTTGCATGTTAGGGTTTTTTCGCTTTGAGCTCCCGGCGCCGACACACACAGAAACACAGAAACTTGTATGTATACTCTCTCTGTCCAGCAATGTATTCTCGATTGTATCTGCTAAGTAAGTTCATCAGCCTTGCACTCACGTTCAAACTCGCTTTTCCCTAGTACTCGAAATCAGCCTAATGTAGAAGTTTTCGGGAGCGATCCTTGTACACTGATTGCAGCTTGGCTATCAGAGTTAATATTTAACTTTTGGTTAGTATTACATTTTACGTACCAAGTCGTCAGCCTCTCCTATATAGCGGTCACTTCAGCTTGAAATCGACTGCAGTAATTTGCGGGCCTAAAATTGCGATTTACGGACTCTAGATTACAGAATAAATCTTCCCACACTCTACGGTCCTCTGTCCTAGAGGATTACTTTCCTTCAGTCACTCTCAGGTAAGAAATCGAAGCTTCAAAAACTCATCGAGTCGCCTTATGTTGGAGGAGAGATCACTGCTCATGATAAGAGAATCTTGTCTAAATAGTGACGATGTATATGTTTTCAAAATATTAAAGCCATTACAGCGAGCACCGTTAGTGTTGAATGACAAACTAGGAAACACGATAACTACTCCGCCATTAGACTCCACTAAAAATTAAGTATAATAGCGGTGCGAATGACAAAGTCTGGTAAATAAATTCATATCAAAATTTTACTTTCTCCAGCTTGCTGCGTCTACGCACAGCTACCGACTAATTACAATTTATTTGACATATGAATCCTGATTCCTACACACGTACACATACATACAGCTTTGGTGAAAGAAAGCGAACTTACGACGGTTATGTCTTTGTCGAGAATCCTTTTGAAAGCACATAAAATGGCATCATTTGACATTTACCATCGAAAGACGTCTGCGGAACGTGAAATACTGCCATGGTAGTAGTGTGAGCCAGGCAGCCTGAGCAGGGGGGGAGGAGTAGCCGGAAGAATTTTTGGCTGACTGCCTTAGTGTGTCACTCAATTGTTATTGTGTATTTTGACCGTATCTTCGCTTAGAGAGTGAAATTCGACTAAGCAGTGTGTTGGTAAGCTAGAATACCAGCTGTCGGTTAAAGAAACAGCGTTAGCTTGGTGAAAGGCGGCATGGAAGGAGATTTACGCGTCGAAGCGCAGCATAGGGTCGTCACGGTCTTGCTCAGCAACGCATACGCACACACGCACTGCGCTGTGTGGTGTACCATTAACGTTAATAAGACAGTCGAAGCTTAACCGAGTTGTTTATTGTTGGTGACCCAACACTAGCCAAAACAAACTACCACATTGACTTTGTGGCATTTCACAGACAACAACTAAGGTAGCAGCCTCCACTACTACAACTAAGTCTAAGTACAACTCCAATTTCAGCTCCTTATTTGCTGCATATCTTTTTCATTGTCACGACACGAATGGCTGAATAGTTGGTCTGCCTGCCAACCAAGATGCCGTGTTTGGCGTTACGTGCTGTGTGATTTGATTAGGGCAGATGGTAACATTAGCATTTGTGAGCGGGTGGAGTTAAGGTAGTTAGTGGAGAGGGAGTGCCTTTTATAGTGGAAAATGCGGGATGTGGATATCCGGGATATTTTTTACGGTTTGTCTATTTGATTGCCACACCCAGTTCACCTGACTTGATTTGCTATTGGGTGTAGGACAGGGGGTAACTAAAGAATAATAGTTTTCAAGAAATGAGCAGCAGCAGTCTACACAAGTGAGTGAAGTCAAGTTGTTCTATAAAAATGGTTTCAAAGATTTTTAAAAAAAATATGGAAAAAAGGAAAATAACATAAAGGAAGTTAAAAAGTAGTGTTAGCTTTAAACTAAAAGAGAGAAGATTTTGAAAAGACTTTAAAAATTAAAACTGGTTGAAAATTAATTCCCCAACCATGTATGTATTCGAAATCAGTTTAAAAAATCTTAAAAAAATCTCTGTGGTTTTAAAACCTCAAATAAGTCCGAATCTTTAAATTAATAGTGCTTTTCTAAAAAAAATTTGCCGAATTAACTTAAAGAACTTTTTGACAATTACTTTAATTTTTCCAAAACTTTCTTTAAATATCAAGCGGAGCTTTAGATGAAAGCACGTTGGTGCACGTATTTTTTTGCTACCTAAATGTCAAAGCTTTTAATTAGCTTTTAATGAAATAACCATTAAAAGTAAAATACATAAAGCTTTCAAAAAGTTTTCAAAAGCACAGATAGAACTTTTCTATAGGGGTTTACGAAATTATTGCACAATACAAACTACGGAGCTTTTCAATATACAGTAAGCTTTCATCAGATCTGTACACAATAATTTAAACACATAATCAAGAAAAATTTTCAATAGATTTTTATGAAGCATAACATTGAATAGAGTATGTAAATATCACATAACACTTCAAATGTGA